AGTGATTTGCGGCCCAAACACGTCGCTACAGAGTTGGATATGCATGTGGACGGGTATGTTGTGGTCAAACAGGCAGTCCTTCACATTGGTTGTCACGAAGTCTCCGAATTCAGTGCACACCTGATAAGTCCATTGTCTCACTGTTTGTCGAAATAAATGCATAAATACATAAGAATTATTTAAATGTACCCTGGCCTAATAACTCATTTAATCTTTTGAGATGTTTTCAATAAATTATTTCAATTATCAGAGAAATAGACGAAAAGTATTAGAAATGATTAAAAAGAAAATTTGGCTCAAAAGGGGAGTCGCGGGGATCGAACCCACGGTCTCCTGATTACATGTCAGGCCTTTGCCTTTGCCTTTACTTTGCCTGAAAGTGACAACTTTTTGGTCAAATACTGTATGAACGCCGCCGTGTCGGCCAACGCCTGTTCGGTGGACAGGTATTTCAGGTGTTCAACGGTTGTGTCGTTGAACGGTTGAGACTCCCCGTAGTACCGGTGCTCTAATGTTGCCAGAAATGCATTGAATTGTTGGGCACTTTTCACCATAAAACTGGAGCTATCGGTGATCCAATCGGGACTGGCGTCCCCCTCCCCCTGTATCATCACAAATACCGGTCCACCAGATTTGTAGTGGGAATCGTCGGTGTAATAGATCTATTAAATAGTATCATAAAAAATTAGTTTCTACTCTAGGTTGTTTTAAATATGAATTAATTTACTAATTATTAGTATATCATGAAAGTATTAAACAAATTCCTATTAATTATAAATTATGAATAAATAATTTATAAATTATAATTATAAATATTTAACTTTATTATACACAAAATTAATATAAAATTTTATAAAAATGATTTGAAACCTGTTTGAAAGTGCGGTTATCTTTATCGTCAAAATGGTTGAGTCTCTGGTCATAGTATTGCGGTTTAATTTCCTTAATTACTTCATCCGGATCAGGAACGGGTGGTCTAACCATACCATACATGTCGTTGGGTCGACCCCTAAACATTGTTAACCTATTTGTAAGCACTCCATTCACGTAGCAATTTAGAAATGTTACAATAAATATAATGTACAGATTCATATTTTAAATGATATTTAATTTTAAAAATTGTACAAAATTAATAAAATTAATGTTTACACACTATTTATATAGTCATTACAATATAATCATAATTGTTATCAAGATTTATAGTACTTTGGGATCTCACTTAATTAATCATATAGATTAATTTTCTTATATTTGTTGCACCTGTTATTTGTATTTTAAGAAAGGTCAAATTGAGTAATAAACTTAAAGTTTGTTGTATTATAACACTTTATTTTCTAACAGTACTTTTAGTCCAAATCTAATTCACGTAATTCAAGTTATAGTATTCATTGCATTAGTTATTTGTATTTTAAGAAAGATAATCATAATGTATAACAATAATGAAATTATTATTGTTTAAATGATATGAGAATATACTGTAATTATGTTCATTTACTTTATCATTAATGTGATACAGTAGGTGGATTTCACCTGGTGCATAGATGATTGTTATTCAGATTTACAGTACTTTAGGATCACACTTAATTATTGAAATCATATAGATTAATTTCTTAATAGTCGCTGAATCTGTTTTTAATATTTGTATTTTAAGAAAGGTAAAAATGACATTTTTATAAACAAGCTCTACGTATAAACTTGATTTTTATTGTAGCCCCTGAAAGAGCCTATGTAGGGGCTTGTAGTCCCCTGATATCCTGATATTTAATAAATTTAATTACGATTTTATAGATATTATTTTAAACAGGTTAAATAATTTTAAAGATTTCTAAATATCCTAATTCATTAAATATTGTTAATATTTTTAATTATAAGTATACGTTTATTTTTAATTATAAGTATACGTTTATTTTTAATTATTTTTATTAATAAAACATAATAAATTACACATGCGCTTAATAGGTACAATATAACCTATTGATCTAGGTTTCCATATAAACTGATTGTATGACAAAACAGAAATGATTACACATACTGTACTGATTATTAATACAGTATATAACTTAGTATTCAAGGTAATATAAAAGTGTATAGATATTTATACTTAAATACAATTACAACATTAATGAGCAAAACTGTCATGTTGCAACTTGCAAACAAATTGTTTAATTCAAAATAAATTTTTATTAATACTTCATATGTTTACTATCATAAAAATATAGTGTATATTAAGTTATATAAATAATAATGTGATAAAAAGTTCAAATGTTATATAACTTACGGTATACACAAATAAATACAGTATTTGACCAGTTATTTATTTATTATGAATGTGATAAAATAAACTATTGATTAGTAAATTGTCAAATGCGTGTATATAAAATGACAATTTTTATTAATATTTTCACTTCTGTCTACTATTAACGAAAAACATTTCAATTTATATATTAAAACAATGTGTGAAATGTATAGTAAAGATAGTTTCGACCGTTTTGGCGATGATTTATGTGAAGTCCTATTGAGTTATATTGAATTCAAAGACCGATTCCGTTACGAATGTCTGTCTAAACAGTGGCAACGATTCATATATAGCCAGCAAAACGAGTTAATCATCTATTTTGCGGCCGATTTGCGAACCTATGAACTGATACTCAAAAAGTGTCATAACTTGCGATTCTTCGGATGCCATCACAACGAGAGGAATGAGGTCTCCATTCCTCCGGAATTGTATGATTCGCTCATCAAATACAGCAAACATTTGACTGAAATTGACGTCGAAATGAACGGCACTCTAGACATCGACCTCATCGACAGATTCTTCACCAGATTTGGGCCACAATTGACACGAATATCATTAGATATGATATGTTTAGACGTATTAAAAAACAGGGTCTTTCAGAAACACATGAAAATGCTGTCCAAACGTGAATTCAATCTAGTAATGTGGAGTAATAAAGACCTTTCGCTACTATTTTTACCTCAAAATACATTAATTTTTAATAATATACGCAAAATTGGATTTGGATTCACGAATGCCGACTGCAAGCCATTCAAACAAATTGTCAAAAACTATAACAATATCTTGAAGTCTATATCAATCGTAATGTCGGAGGACCTCAACGAAGGATCACTAACTGACTTAATGACCGGATTATCACAGATATCATCGTTGGTTGAGTTGGAACTACACGACCACACGAGCCCTAATGTGTCGGTCCTAATACCGGTGCAAATGAGACAAATTGGCACCAAATGTGAGAAACTTAAGAAACTAACGCATCTTTTCCTCAATAACTTTAACTCGGAATTGGATCAGAGTTTCGGCGAAACTATTCACACATTCAATGCATACTTCAAACAATTAAAGCGATTGAAAATACAGGGATTTATTCCCGAAGACTATCCGCTGAGTAGCGAAGTGTTCAGTGGTTGCAAACGATTGACACATCTGGAGATATGGTCTTATAGTCATAATCAGGGCTTTCATTTGACTCATATAGACACACATTTGCCAAAACTACAATACCTGTCCATCTATGGTGTGAACAATGCTGAGATATCTATGCAATCGTTGGCTAAACTCAAAGACTTGCAAACACTTTATATTAATACAGAAGTTGAGGAGGAAAATAAAGATATGACAGTCAATGAGATAATTAATATTTGCCACAAATTAAGATGTTGTAGTATTTGTTTTGGTGACAGAGAGCCTTCACAAGGCATACATAGCACACACTTTTGGCTCGTTGTAGCCCTTTTGGCTTTCATAGGCTACTATCTACCTGTATATAACCTGGTTTGAAAGTTGGGGTAATAAACAGGTGCTCATAATATTGAGGATTATATCTCTGGTCTGAACTCCGGTCTAATACTCGGGAGACGAGACAATGCGATCGTCAGGTGTTTGGAGTCTGTGATGAGTTTGTTGTAGATGTTGTATTATATTTAGCTAGTAGTTTTTAATTTATAAAATACTGTATTATATAATAAGTAATGGTATTTCATTTATTTTATTATAACAACATTAAGTTAATATACGGTAGATACTATAATCTCTTAATTTGATAGTGTTAAATTAATTTAGTAGTTGTTTATTTTTATACCAGGCTGCTATAGCATCTAAAGTAATTATTATACAACAGTACTTTAACAGTAATCAATACAAATAACTATAGTAACTTAGTATGATGCTTAATATATTTATTATGATCATATTATTACAGTATTAAGTGAAATACAGTACAAGTATTTTAAAATTTAACATAAAAGCATTTATATTTTTGTTTTAATGTTACAGCAATAATTGTCTTACAATATTTATTGGTTTACTAACTAAGAGTACACAATATTTATAAATTGTTTATAAGTTCACTAAATGTATCACTATTTTCACTAAAACTAATTTGTGGCTAAAAATAAATGTCTCAAAAATACAGTAAAGACTCGTTTGACAGATTCGGTGATGACTTGTGTTCAGTGCTATTGTCTTACCTCCCGGTGGACCACAAACTGCGGTTTGAATGCCTGTCCACTCAATGGCAACGACTGGTGTTTAGCCGACAAACATATCTCGAAATAGATTTGAAAATCTTAAAAAACATAAAACCGTTTAAAAATAAATCATTAAATTTAAGCGGATTTGAGGCGCTGTTGAAAAAGTGTGAATATATTACTGCCATTGAGTTCACCAATACTGACGGATACACTAAACGCATTCAATCGGTGTTTGAATTAATCATTAAATATTGCGATCATTTGAATCAAATTAGTATTAGTGACAGAATTGATTCAGGGATAATTAAACTATTTTTTGCAAAGTATGCCAAACAATTAAAATCCCTTTCATTGTATATGTTGGTGGCTGATAAATCTAATGATCATTACCTGAAGTATTGCAAAAATATTCATACCCTGGATATCCAACAACAACACCGATTTAATGATGTGTTCAGTGATAGTGTTATTAAAAATAAAATATTATTCAAGAATTTAACTAAAATATCTCTTGAGGTCTGTATGGATAACAAGAATTGTTTCAAACAATTTACGGATTGCTATCAAAATCAGTTGAAATCCATTGATATCTCTATTGATAGTTGTGATGAAAGTTGTGTGGATATACTGATTACTAGTTTGTCACAAATGTCACAATTAATTGATTTAAAGATACTTAATGACGGGTCATACAATACAAACAAAGTTATCATAAATAATTTATGTAAAGTTGGTGCTAATTGTGGTCGACTTAAGCGGTTATCATTATACATATATAGTATGGAGACGAATGAGCATTTAATGAAATTGTTTCAAACAATTAATACAAGTTTTCGACACATAAAGCGCCTACATATAGACAATTCGCTTGGCAATGGTTTGCCCCTAAAAAGTGATTTATTAAACGGATGCAAACTATTAACACATTTATCTCTGAATTTCTGGAGTAATATAAATGACCCTTTCTTTGAATCAATTGATCAAAATTTACCACAACTTGAATCCGTAAACGTGGGTTGCAATTGTAGAGACGCAAACATTTCAAAGACATCGATCACTTCATTGTCTAAACTCATGAAAATACAAACCATTGTATTGAATGGATATTCATTAGAATTCAAACTTAAGAAAACATTTCAAGTGTTGGCTAAAAAGTGTCCAAAAATAAAGACATTGTATGTTAACAAACAAAAATTAATTTGAAAAATGTCACAATATCTTATCTTAAATTAAACATTTACACATTTTATTATAAATTTAAAGTACTTGAATAACTTATACCATGTAATAAATTATATAATCATTGAAAATCTATAGTAACCTAATTTCTATGACAAACAATAATAATAAATACTGTATTGAATAAAATGATAAATGCCTACAGAATAAAGGCTTATATTATTGAATCATAGAAACCATGGTTTGCATCATATGTTTATTGTATAAATGTATTGCAATCCACGACTGAAATGTGATGTAATTGTGTTGATTCCTAGTTAATCAATACAATAGGTTTAGACTACATGTTAGTAAACGTAAGGTTTGTTTGTCGTGCCTGTTATCATCATTTTATTACCATGTTGTTAGCATTACGTTTATTAACTACATAAAATAGTAAATAATAAATTTTATATAAATAATACAAGCATTTTATAATTACACGTTTTGGGAATAATATTGCTATTTAGAAATAAAATGTAAACTACTCAAGTGAATTTAGTAATCATAATATAAGGTTTTCTAAATTCCAGACTTAAATTATAAATTGGATTTTTTAAAATACTTATACAATGATAAAATAATTTTTTGTGTTATTCAATTAATTAATAAATCACACCATTTAATCAACCAATAAGTATTATTTAAAAATTATTTCATTACTAATTACAAGTATATTAGTGAAACTAAAAATCATTATAAATCTCAACTATAATTGCAAAGAATATTAATACAGAAAATAATTGTCTAAACTGATGAAAATACAAACCATTGTATTCAAGGGATATAAATTAGATCCAAACTTAAGAAACAAACTTTTCAAGTGTTGGCTAAAAAGTGTCCAAAATTAAAG